TCTCTGTCAAATAAATAAAAAATCTTTAAAAATAAATAAATAAATAAATAAATGCCATAGTCACATAAAGCTCTATAATATGCAGCCAAGATACAATGTCCACCTTCTGAGAAGAATGTAAGGCATCCTAGCACAAACAGTGAAAACACCTAATATGACAATCTTCTGTGTGGATGCAGAAAGACTACTTTCTTTTGTACATGTAACTGTGTATCACAGAGGATGAAAATGCAAATATGTTTGGCTTTATCCGCAGGTGCAGGCTATATGAGGTTTCTTAAAGTAAGAACTGCTCTGTACAGAGTCATTAGGATGTGCACTGATGAGATGTAAGATGCGGCTTGGCATTTGTAGGTTTGCAACCATTTCAAAAGCTGGTTCGTGGGGCAAGAGAAGAGGTACTAGTCATGAGGATGGAGGACCATCTTGAAAGGTGAGCAAAGGTGTGTGGAGAAGAGATGATTGGTGAGGTCAGTGTGCACGCCGGAAAGGACTGGGTCTGCATCTAGCCTGTTCTCATATGCTTGAAATTCCCCCAGGGGATCCTGAGGGCATCCTGGCAAGTTGGGAAATGGGGCCACATGCAATCAACACATCCAAGTCACATAAGTCAGGACAGACAGTTCCAGGAGAGGGAGGCTATGGCAGCGAGAGGAGCACGAGCTGAGAGGACAGACGGCTGTGTTCTAGGGCCAGCTCTGTTCCACCCAGCTGTGCAATCGTGGGCAAGGCATGTCAGCATTCCCAGGCCAGTTTTCCATCTGTCAAATGAGGAAGACGGCTGACCCTAGAGAGTTCTCACAACTCTTTTATTATGAGCTTCTATGCACTTTCAGGAAAAAAAGAAAAACCAAAACCAAAAAGGAAATTCCAAACAGCTCCCTAAAATGGGTCTCACCTGAACCTCCTATGATGGCAAAGGCGCCCCACACACCCAACAAACATTTTACATTTGGTTATCAACCTCTTCCAAGCATCTCAGAGAAGATTGCAAAACTGCCATGGATAGATACTTCTGGAGCCTCCTGAAACCTAGAGTGGCAGGCAGTACCCTCCAGTTGTACCACTGAAGAGTAAAGATGCTGAGTGCTTTGTCCAAGGTCAGGAGCGAGGACAGGATCAGGATTCCAGCCTCCTCGTTCCTAGGGCTATGCTATACTTTCCACAAAGAAACCAAGCTGGCTTTCTGGGAAGAATGCCAGAGGTTCCATTCTCCCAACTGAGAATTCATTGGAATATCGGAATAACAACTTTGGAGACTGTGGTCTCTCCAATCCATTTCAGGACCTGGCTAGAAACACGAAAACCCAAAGAAAGAAGCAATAGGGAATTATTCCGTTTTTTAACGAAAGAGAAAAAATTAGGGGTGGGAATAGGGGATTTCTTAAAATTACATGATTGCTGGAAGTTAATTTGGTATTTCTTCATTGGTTTGTAAGTTCTGTTTCCAATCACAAAAACAGACAGCTGAGGATGCCTAAATCACATTTCAATGAATTAGCATCTTGTCCCAGAGAATCTTGCGCACTCTGAATATAACATAAGACCCAGAATGCAATGCTCTGTGGTAGAATGGAATCTCCCTCAGTGTAAGAGAGAGCTTGTCATAATCCCCTAAACTGTAATCTAAATTGATAGTCTTCAAAGCCAACAGCAATCACTGAGAATGATAAAGGGGTTGCCACTTAACTTGGGGTACACTGCCTCTTCCAAGAAACTTACTGAGACCCAGCTCTGCCAGATAGGAGAGCTGGCATCCTCTACCATCCACATACTCCTTATTAGGTTGACATCAATGCACCTGAAAAAGAATCTCATCATAGATTTAGAGACACATGTTCAGAAAGTAAGTTTCTGACTTCTTCCAAGAAAGGCCAACCACAACAAGAAAACACATGTTGGACTAGCTCTGCCTTGAAGATAGCATGAAACCAACCTCATGGCAAATCCCAAGCGATCAGTACTCAGCATGGAGATTCGTAAAGGAAAGAAACCAGGAATGATTGTTTCAATCACTTTCTCCCCCTACCTGTCGATGATGACGGGGTCTGAAGGAGTCTCATTTCGGTTCCCACAACTTTTCTTCTCGCAACATCGACTGTAGATTGGGAAAGAACCAAGAGAGTAAAAGCAATTTGTTAAAATCAAGAAAATACAAGAAGCATATAATGTAGAAACATTCACAAAAATGTCCTAGGTAGCTTCTTAGCGTTCAGTTGCTCAAGCGCAGGATTTATGACCATGTTTAAAAACAACACTGAACCCGAAGCCCAAAGATACTCTCTCAAATTCTCATTCTAGGGGCTTATAACTGGGTCATTCTCAGCAAATCACAACTTTCCCAGGAGCCATATTTGTATTCTGAACCACAGGCATTGGATTTTTAAATCTATAAGGTCACTTCCAGTTCCATGTTGAATGATTTTAGGGTTATATCTTTTAGATCTTTGCGTCTTAATAAATATTTGAAGAAAGAAGGGAAAGGAAAAAGCATAAAACAGACCCCGAGTAGCTGTCTGGCTTTATCAACCTTAGGTACTAATAACATCTTTCCAGAGAACTCAGTGTACTTTATAAACATTTAGTTATTTATCCATTTCTGTCATTTTCTAAAGATGAAGGAGGAAGACCAGAACCATGGTATACATTGTAAAATAGGGAGAAAATGAGGCAGAGAGCTGTAAAATGATCTTTCCCATGATTTTCACCGAGTCCAGACCAGAAATGGGACTTCCCCTGTAAGTCCCACCTTGAAGATGCTGCCTCCCAAGACTTCCACCTAGCAAAGTGCTGGGTACCTGGTAGATGCTGGAGAAAGGCTTGTGAAATTATCTGGGAGGGAGACAGAAAAGAAGAAGCCCTAGGGCAATCACAGCAGATAGGAAGGATTCAGTCAGACCTGAGCAGAGAGCAAAATGCTCCAATCCAAAGGTGTCTGTATGAAAGACCTAGACAGATGTGACAAAAGCAAAGGAAGCTGGGTGGTGGGGAAGCACTGGAAAATCACGTCCCCTCGTTGCTGCCCACTGCCACTGGCACTGCAAGCTCCTGAAAACCTCTTGGCTCATTCAAGCACATGGTCTACCATCAATGGTAGTTGCTTAAGAATATAGCCTTGACACGGCATAGAAAAAAAACAACAACAACAAAACATGACTATCCACACTGGTCGGAGACTATGCCACATAAACACTAGCAGTAAGCAAACTAGATGTCAGCACTGCCCTTTCCACGATCTGTTTAAGTTTGAGAGCGAAGCAACACAATGGAAAGGTGGCTAAAGTGAGAATCGGGGCTCTGACGTCCCATTGGACGCTGTCACCAAGCAGCTTTGGGAATACAGTCAAATCTGTTTAACCCCTCTGGGCTTTGCCAACCTTATATATAAAATTAAAATACTGGACAAGATTATCTCCAGAGTCCCTTCTCGGTTTAGGAAGCCCGTGGGGCAATGAGATCCCTGAGCCCTCTTTGGAAGTGATGACAGAAGGAGGAAAAGAGGGAGGCCATGAGGCAGCAGGGACTCCTAGGCCTACCACCAGCCCAGACACAGATTTGCTTTGTGGCTCTCTCTAGTCCACTTGTCCTCTCTGGTCCTCCACAGAATTAAAAACAAACAAATGAATAAAGGAGTCTTTGTAAAACTTTTAAAGTTCATCTTCACTCCTACAGGGATGCGTGGGATTACCCGGCCACCCATTCATTCTACCTTTCTCAAAGAGCAAGATATACTGGAGAGGTGCTAAACAAGTTTCACCAAATGAGCGCTAGGAGGTTTTAAGAAATTTAATCAAATTAGTAGGAAGTAAAAGAAAAATTGTCTCAACATTCTTAAATACCAGAGTTGGCCACTGGGGACTTTCTGAAATAATATTTTGCCTTTGAAATTATATTGGGTCTTAACTTTTAAAATTTCAATCCATCCCAAGATTAACACCAATAAAAATGCTGGCCAGCTGCTTTCCCACCTCCCAAAGCCCTTGTCTCTCTTCCTAACTCCCTACCACCACCCACTGCCCTCTCCCACCTCTCCCTATTTCCATTGCTGATGTCAGCAGAATACCTATGCGGCTCAGGCAAACCTTTTTTCCTTAGCGACACAATTTCAAAAGCCCAGGCATGCTTGTTACCCAAAGACCTTCTAGCTAGACTCCCCTCTGACCTCAGCAGTATGTGAGCCTAGCCCAAATATGTGTGCGATGCTGGTACAATTTAATTACGAGAACACAGACTGTCAGGATGTACCAATCTGTTTAGTTTGAGAAGGAATGATTCTGAAGAGGCCGAGTAAGTTTGCAAAATTGCTCAGCTGAATTCAGCTGCTTTCCATGGGGATTTTCTCTGAAGGAAAAGAAAAACAGATAAAAATGTAAGCCTGGTGCCAGTGTAATACAATGTGGAGAATCTCATCAGGGAAGGAGACAATATTCAAAGAAAAATGCAGAGAAACTTTAGGACCCAATCTTCCATGTTCCATCAGTAACATATTAATTACAGTCTCTAATGTTAATAGCACAGAAGAGATGTAGAAGACACTCACTTGGTGACTGGGCTGAAATAGTAAAGGTATAAAAATAATAGGAGTGCTCCATCTGAGAGCCCTTCTCAAAATTTCTCTGGGTGAGGCAAAACTAATTCTTTTCCTTTCTTTTCTTTTCTTTTTTTTTTTAAGAAAAGTTCTCATCAAGATGTCCTAGTTATTTTTTTTTTAATCTGGTTTCTTAAATGACATTCCATCCTCATGCCAGTAACATTAACATAAGCAAAGGGAAGTGGAAAGTGGAGGACATTCATGAACCCACGGTCTCCAAACAATCGCTCTGGGATCAGATATGTGCATGGTGGACCTGAAGGACTGGCGCCCTGAATTACTCAGATGACAAATTCCATTCTCCTCTCCCTTTGCTGTAGAGACAAAGCCCGTGCGACCAACTTCAGGTTCAGCTACTTTAGTGAAAAGGTTTTATAGGGTTATCTTCTAACAAGCAAGTTTCTAGGTCTGAAGTTCCTGGTAAGTGTTTTTTAAAAACTGAACAAGACTGTAAAATAGGAAAGGAAGCGGAAAAATAAACAAAGAGAAGAGGAAACTGAACTTGGCACTAGGTCGATTGTGTTCCTAACTATCACGGAGAGGCTCAGAAGGGCTCCTTCTCCCTAATGAATGAAAATGCAGGTTGGTCCTCCACTCTTTAGTTTGGCTGGGTTTGGTTTATTTTATTCTAATTCTTACTCAGAGAACCTTTTCCCTGAAACACTCTCAACCTTTTCCCTCAAACACTACAGGCCTCTCTGGTCCTCCCAATCTCACAGAGTCTTTAGAGAGGGAAAGAGAAAAAATAAACCAAGTTGGCGGTGAGGCTGGGGAAATATGGAAAATTGCATCCCAATCCTGAATCTTACCTGCCTTCTTCCAAAAGGAAGAAAAAAAAGAGGGATAAGGGATGGCTGGAGAAGAAAAAATCCCCAGCCCTGGACACAGGGTGTCCAGTCAGTCAAACTCCTGCTCAAGACAAGCGAATGTGCCCTTTCCCCTCCAAAATCGTTTTTAAAATTCAACCCTCAACTTTCAAAAATCTGTCTCTAATTTCAAACTCAAATAAGCGCACAGCATGGTGGCTTTTGTTTTGTTTTCTTCTCCCCAACTCCTCCCTGCGATTGCATAACAAAAGTGTCTAAATTCACACCATCTGGCCGATAAAGACACTGGCCTCACTGCCCGGCTGGCCCATCTGATTAGGGCCCCGTCTAGCCTGCGCCTTGTGGCGAAAAGTCACAGCTGTGGGGTTTGCTCGCGCTCAATACAACTCTGTTATTAGCCAGCTGTAGACCTTGAGACAACTTCTGTTCAAATTATAATATCTTTTAACCCTCCGAGCATTGAGGGCACAGGCGTGGCTTGCAGCGACATAACAACTAGATTTCTCCTTGCTAATAATTGGCAAAATGAACTAAAGCCGGAAAGAGAGGAGCAGAGACAACTGGGGAAGGGAGAAAAAGTTATTCCTAAAGAGATTTATTTTGTTCCCTCTGAAAACTCAACACCAGTTTATGAGTTTTTTTTCCTAAGGCTTAGAGAACATAAAACCATTCAGGGAAATCCCCAGGTATGCTCAAGAACACCACGCAAACTCTCAGAACATGCATCTGATTCATCCGTCAATCATGGACTGCTCTCCCTGGCTCCCAAAATGTGGGAGAAGGAACTTTTTCCCTTACTGGAGAATCAGCCAGCTCTGACTGACAAATTGAGATCTTCCCCTCTGGATACATCCAATATTTGCCATCATCCCAGCTAGCTCCCAAAACACACACATACACACACACACACACACACACCATACACAGTACCCATCCAATGGATCATTTATTTATCCATAATTAATATTTGTTTTAAATTCTAGTTTTGGGAAGAACATCGCAGAGCATCTTCCCAGGTCTCAGATGCAGAGAAGTTACAGTACATTAAATTTTTATATTGTGTTACTAATGCAGACTAAACTAGAGGCTTTAAAAATTGATGCTGTTACTTAAACAGCATAAAATGAGGAGGATTTGATTGGGCTTAAAAATAAAAATGTCAGCCTTAACTACAGCTTGATGGGGCGTGCGAGTATTATTTAAAGTGATAGGTATAATTCATCAGACAATGGGCCAGTTTCGGGGTTTGTTTTCTTTTCTTTTAAGAAGATAATCTCTCCAAACAAAGACATTTAAAAGTATAAAGAGGGATAAAAAAAAAAAAAAAGTCCTTCAATTAGCCAACCAAATCAAAGTGTTCTAACTATTTAATCTAGGTGTTACATGCAAGCTCTTCTTGGAATTGCATTTCCTTTCTGAACGAATCTATCAGGGGCCCTGGGATAATGGAGTGGCTATCTGCTCACTCCCTCACCCATGGCCTCTCCCAGCTACTCAGGCAGGGAAGCTCCATTCCGCTCCGCTGAGGCCACTGGCAGAAATGAACTTTGCATTTGGCAAAGTTTGTTTTTCTAATACTTGGTCAAAACCAAAACAAACATGGCTGATTGTTATGGTTTCTTTCTGACTGGGTTGGGAGGGAGCCGAGGCTGCTGGGAGCTGCCCATAAAACAGTCCAGACTAAATCAGATGGCCTGCAATTACCCAAAACTAGCAAGTCTGGAGCTGGTGGACGTTCACTGGGGCAACAGCAGAGCAAGGAAGAACTGAGGCTTTCTCTCCAATCCGAGATTTGGGAGGAAGAAAAACGTGTATGGACTTGACATTTAAATGTTTATAGTCAAATAACCACCTCTTTCCAGAGTTTCCTTTTCTCTTTTGCTGTGGTGGGTCCCCAGTACTCAAACGTTTGTTGAAAGGATGAATAATTAAGTGCATGGATGAATTTCTTCTAATTTTTAATTCTCTTCTAGTCAAGCAGAAGAAAGGACTCAAAATGGAATGACTGGTCTCCAGAAAGAAGATGGGGGAAAATGCGGGAATCTGAGTAGACTGCACCTCTCACAACTTCATGCTCAGAATCCAGTTGTTGCTCCGGACCCCCTGATGGAGTCCTCTCCCTGCCTCTTCCACTAGTGGTCAACCGGACTACTCTTTCTACCCAGTACTTTCTCGTGACCTCTGAAACTCCCCTGACAAGGGAAATCACCGGAGAAGCAACATCCCAGGAGGAAGGAAACCCTTCCGCATCATAGACAGGTGCCTCAGCGGTTGGGGTGGGGGTGGGGAGGGTGGGTTCCAACCTCTGGTAGTCCCTCTCCCAGACTGCAAGTCTTGCCAGTGCTTTGACCCCTGTACTCCACGAGTGGACCCTCCTGGAAATCTACCCGGATCGGGCAGAACAGGCAGGAACCTAGCAGGGCGGACCTCGGGTGGAGACCCGTTCAGGGAAAGTCTGTGACCCCAAACCTGGCCGGGGGCTGCCCGGCCCCTCCCCGCACTGCCACTGACCACTGGACAACAGAAACTTTCCTCGAAATGGAGGAAACTCTTGAGATGCCAGGGGGGTGAAATCCTGAGTGGTTCTGGGTTTCCTTTTGGAGTCTGAATGGATATGCCCTAAGAATCTGGCCTTTAAGGGAGAATTCTAGCAAATCAGCCCCCGGGGTAAGGCCACCCTCCCCTGGAGCCACCACTCCTGAAACTCAATGCTGGGATGCATGCAAGCCGGCTGGCGTGGTTCACCTGCCCGCTTTCCAGCAAAGCCCGCAGGAAAAACGCGACACTTACCTGCACATCACTTCGTGCGTCAGGAGAACTCGGCACATTTCTGGATTCTTATTTTGTCCCTCGTAAGCTATGGGCTGCAAAGGAGTTGGGGGCAGGGGCAGGAAGGGAAGATATGAAGGCAATGGAGAGACAAAGGAAAGGGGACGTTAAAACAAGCACAGAATCGTTTTTTTCCCCCTCTGCCCACTAGTTCATTAGGAGTTAGCCAGAACCTGAGCTGTGGCCTGATTAACCCAAGCAAAAGAATAATAGAGAAGTTTGCCCTGGTGAGGACGTATTCCTGCAAAAGGGAATGTTTCGGGGGACGGGATCTCCTACCAATTGCTTCCTCTCTTCACCCCTTTGCTCCCCTACCCCCAACCCCAACCAGAAAGAAGAAGAACAAGGGAGAAGAGAGGGAAAAAATTGTTCTCCAGGTTGGACAAGGTGCTAGTTGATGTGGAGAAGCATGTGAAGTCTGACCCAGGAAACCGTGGGGAGTGGGCAGAGGTCAGGGGCAGGCGGGGAGGGAGGGAGGTGCGGGGGGGGGGGGGCGCCGGGGAGAAGAGTAGACGGGGTGGCCCGCCGGCTCACCTGCTTGGTGACCGAGTCGATGAGCCTGACGTACAGGTCCTGCTCGGTTCGGACGCCTGCGGGGGAGGGGGCGGGCACGAGGTAAGGGCCGCGGAGCCGCTCTCGGCACCCAAACCCGTCCCCGCTGTGGGGACCGAGGCCAGGGCAGCCGCTCCAGGCTCCCGACTGCAGGCAAGCACTCCGGCTGTGCGGTCCTGGGGGCAAAGGCCGCCCACCCGCCCCTGGCCCTACCCGAGCCTCCCGCAGCCCTGCGCTCCCCAGGCCTGGAGGCTGCCGGCAAGCGACTGCAAAGTGGTCAGCCGCCCTCCTAGCAAGAGAAACGTGCGGGCGCCGCAGCCGGCGCTAGGCGCTCACCATTGCTGTAGAGGAGCTGTAACTTATAGTGGGTGCCGTTGTTGGTCTTCTCGTTGCCTTGTTCCTGAAAAGACAGGCAGCGTTCGAGTCCCTTGCCTTCCAGCACCCCCCACCCAATGAAGGAAAAACTAGAGAGCGCACCCCACCCCGCCTCCCGCCGACTTTCCCCCACTCACTAGGCAACTTTGAACAACCCCCTGCCCAGCCCCAGGTCAAAGGGCAGGAGCATCTGCCGGAGGCCAACCTCTGAAACTTGCTAGGGCTCAGGCCACTTGACCCTCTGCAACCCCTCTCTCCCTCCCCCTTAAAAATGTCCTCAGAAGTGTGACACCCCCGCCCCTGAGACGCGACAATAGGACACGGCACCAAGGATACCTTTAAACAGGCCCCACCCAACCCTACAGGCTCTGTCCATCCTTAAGAAGCCCCAAAGCTTCTCTTGGCAGAAAGATGCAGGGACCTGTCATTTGCAAGGGTAGCATTTGGCTCTATCCCACCAAGACTAGAGCCTCTGGGGCCACAAGCTCAGGGACCCAGGCCCAGATTCGAGCAGGACCTCAGGAAGCTCCAGCCCTAAAGCTCGCAGGCCCAGAGAGGGCAAGAGACTTTCCTCTCATCACATGTCCATTTCATCTGAGATCGAATCCAGCCCCCAAACCCGAGCTGAGGTCAGAGTGGACACTGCGCTGGGGAGCGAGAGCGGGAGAGAAAGCTCAACGGGGAAGGTGGGCCAAGACTTGGCTCTGGGTATCCACTCTGCCGGCGCTGGCAGGTGCAAAATAACAAAAAATAACCCGGAGAAGGGCATGCTCTGCTCTGAAGGGCGTTTGCTCCACGGTCAGTCCATGACCAGGCTCTGCTAATGACCCCAGAGTCCGGGTTCACAGAGCCATCAGCGCCCCCGCAGCGAGGAGGTGCCGGGAAATCAACTGATTCAGAGGCTGGGGCGAGAAGCCTCGATTTATCATTCCTGATGATGTGAGTGGAAAAGTGTCGCGAGTGACAGATGGAATCTTTAGTGCTTTGCAAGGAGGTAGTTATTAGGCGGTGAGGAAAAGGGGACCTCCGCTTACTTTGTCGTTCTCCACAAAATCAACGAAGGCTGTGCGCTCAATCTCCACTGGCTGCCCCTGCCTGTCATAGAGCGCCAGAACGAAGTGAAAGAAGTTGGATTTCCTCAAGTTGGAAGGAGGCTGCTTCTCAAAGTGGGCCCGGGACAGGGCCACTCCGCTGCACAGGAAAAGACATGGGGGACACCGGACAGAGGGAAAGAGAGAAAGACACCATGTTACGAACATGCCCACACAAATACTGCGGGGGGTCAAGGGTCCCCATCCCGGGTCCAGAGTTCTGGGCCGCTCAGACCTTTTTGCAATTCAGTCTAAGAAGAGGGGACTCTTTCGAGTAGTTACAGTGGCCACAGGGGTTGGCTGACAGGGCGAACGCCCCTCTCCACTGCCACCGCCCGGTGTTCCAGCCTCCGGGCATCCCAGGGCCCAGCAGCTCACAGTCTGGCCTTTAGTGGAGACCAAAGGATGCCCGCTGCAGACCAAGGCCCAAAGCAGTCCTGAAGGAGGCGGTTCAAGTCTTATGCCGTAGGGCCGCCCCTATCTTCACCCTCAAGTGGAGCCGCCGGCTGGGTCAGGATTGGGAACTAGGCCCCCCGGGTTAGGGCAATAAATCCTCCTTACTTTTGAAGAAGTGACCCATTTCCTTCATCTTCATTGGAGTTACCTGACCTATTGCTACTGCCCATTACGCCCTCCTTGCTCTCTCCAAAAGTTGGTGGGTGGGGAACCCCCTGGGGGCGGCGGGAAACCCAGAGCCCAAGCCTCGGTTCTACCGGGAGAGGCCTCTCCTCCCGCTTCCCTCGCTTTTCCGAAAAGTTGCGCGCGGGAGAGTGGCAGAGTGGAATCCCCGGGACCAAGGATCGCGGGCCACTGCGGACCACGGGATACTGGGGACCCCGCCCCCAGAACTGCTGCGCTTGGAGAAGGCAAAATGTTATTAAGAGGCAGAGAGCGTCCTCGCCTGGGGCCAGGGGGATCCCCGCTTAAGCTGCATCTCCCGGCGGCGCCAGCCAAACCCGCTGACCGCGAAACCCCTGTTGGAGGGCCCGGCAGGCGCCCCTGAGCGTTTTGAGTGTGTGCACACACCTCCTTGCAGACCTGTCGCGGCCGGGGACAAACTAGCCGCCAGATCACATTTAACAGAAGTCTCAGGGCCCAGGCGAGCGCGCAGATGGCCAGTGCTGCCCCGCGGCGCTGGGATCTCTGGTCCTCGTACCCCAGGGTGTGAGCACTTTCACTCTTTTGAATGGCGTAAAATTCTGGCTAGAGTCCCCCCTCGGGCTGCCTATTCCAAGTTTAACAATGATTTGATCCGGGTAAAGGAGGAAAGTAGGGGAGGTATCTTTAAGGTGCTTGGCTAAGGAAATGCACCTTGGAGCCGGCTCTGTGAAGCCGCCTGATTTCCCTCCGCCTGAGCCCTGCGAGTCCCCAGACCGCGGCGGAAAGCCGCCTCTGCCTCGTGCCGTCTGCCGGGGGTATCGGCGCGCCCCGGGCTCCCGCAGAAGGGAGGGAGCCGCGGGCCGCCCGGGTCTCCTCTCCTCCAAGGATGGCGGCTGGTTCGTTCTACCCGGGACACCTGGAGACGTGGCCTATCTGGGAAAGGAGGCATTTCTCTGCGGGATGTCAGGACTTAAGAGGGAGATGGCTAGGAGAGCGGATAGGAAGGCTGGAGTCGTGGGAAGAAGTTCGTGGGCTCTTTGGGGTTTGTGGGAGGAAGGCTGTCTTTCGAAAGCAAGGACGCGGAGACCACAAATCCCAGCTCAGTAGTGGTGATGAGGGAAAGGGACCAGAATGCCTCCGTGGGGTGGCACCCTAAACAAGGCGTTTACTATCTCAGCACGCGGACGCTTAGAAACAAAGTCAACTTCAGTAACTAGCAAAACTAAAGGCTGCTGATCCCTGCGTTTGCGGCCCGTCTCCTCTCCTCGCCTTTCTTCTTCTTCTGTGGCTCTTTCTACTGTTACTCCTTCGTATTCTCTTTTTAATCCCTTCTCTTCCCTCACCCGCTCTTCTGTGCGTCTGGTCCACTGTTTTATCTCTGCGCCTGGACCCTCCAGCCTGCCCCCCGCCCCCCCACGCCCCGGAGCTCCCGGCCGCTTTTGCCTTCCCAGCAGCGGCTCCGGCCTCTCCCACTCCTCGCGTCGCCGCCGCCATCTGGCCGCGGGGCTTCCGGCCTTCAGGAATCACCCGGCAAGATGCGGGAGGAGAGGCGCTTGCAAGCGGCGTGGCGAAACCCGGGAGGCTCCGGGAAGCCGGCTCGCCGGCTGTCGCCGCTGCCAGCTCCGGTCCTAGAGCTCTGCTCCCGGCCGGGCCCGCATCGCAGAACCAAGGGCTGAGCTGCAAAGCATTGGATGCCACTTTGTTATTTTTCTTCCCAAAGAGTGGTCTGTGGGGAAGGAGTGGGGGAGAAACACAAACGACCCAGGCAGTTCGGAAACTCGAGTGTCGGCTGCGGGGTAAGTGTACCCTGACTGCAGCGACCTGCCTGCCCTAGGTCGAGCTCCAGCGCGCGGGGCCAGGGCGACAGATGGGGGGAGAGAGAGGGGGCACACAGACAGACAGACGGTGAGAGCGAGAAAGGGAACGAAGAAAAGCATTTAAGACCGTAATAATTGTGAGACCGTATCGTTACCTCTGCGCCGCGACATTGGCGTCCACCACGCCGACATTCCGGACCCAGGACCTGACCGAATCCATCTCGGCACCCAGTGATTTCTCTTTCGGAGCTGGTCCTCTTCCTAAAGTATCTTGAATCCCAAACATTTAAAAAGTCTGGTCTACTGTCGCTTTAAAAATACGAGTTACAACACTGTCCCTACTGTTCCCAATGCTGTCACCAAACCGTCTCCTCCAAAGCAATCCAAGAAAAGGGATCAAGAGCCGAAGTTTGAGTCTCTCGTTGGGGGGGGGTGGGGGGCTAAAAGAGATAACCCGTCCTTTGCTTCGCGCGTGAGGTGCGGACTGATGTAGTTAAAGTTTGCTATTTATCCTCCGCAAGTTCAGATCTGCCGCCTCAGGGCCTCCGTCCTAGGTCGCTCGCATCCTTCCAGCGGCAGCGCTGCCTCCAGAAAGTGATCACAATTTAGAAGCATCACCTGTTCTGGGAGAAACAGGAGGAGATTGATGGCTGCCTAATCTCTCTCTTTCCTCCTGGTCCCCCCTCCCTGCTCCTCCCCACCACTCGAATTTAGAAAAAAAAAAAAAATCCCCAACTGGATCAGTTGTAAAAGGAAGGGGAAGACCCGGAGCCGAGAGGAGGCGGTGGCTGGGAGCACCGCGGAGCCGGGCTGCAGCCGCGCGCGGGCCCCATGAATGGGTTACTACAGCCGCGGCCGCGGGAGGCGGAGCCGCGGCCCGATAAGGAGCCTCATTTGCATGGACGCTCGGGATTGGCCGACGCTGGGCAGGCCGGGCCGACGTCCTCCGGCGGCGCGCGCCACGCTCGGCGTTGCTGGGAGTCCGGGAGGTGAAAGGGGACAGAAAGCCGTGGACGCTGCGTCCATGCCCGAACCCCGTGTGCGTGCGTGGGCTGAGGCCCCCAAATCTTGCACTGAAGCCGAGTAGTCAGCCCCTGCAGGTTGGGATGTCTCCGCTTAGTCTGGCCGCGGGAGCAGGAATACTCCGTGGATCTTGCCACTAGATGCAAATTTTTGTAGCCTGCGGGGAGGCATATTCATTCTCATTCTCTGGGTTTGAATCTGTGTTCATGTTTGTGAAGAAGTGGAGAGTGTGACCACATGTACTTATGTTTTGTGCAAACGTTCCCCAGAGCAACCCAGTTCCCTGAATGGCTCTCCCCAAGTCTCCTGGAGTCTCGGGGTGACACTCAGATTTTGTGTGCGGTTTACAAGTTGTTGAGAGAGGAGGATATATGAATGAAAGCAGCAGGGTGGGGGACGAGCAAGGCTCAAGTGCTATTCAAATAAATAGAGTGTCACGGAAAACGGTCAAGGAGCTAAGGAAAATACCCCCGGGCAGACAGGAGCGGGAGTCGCACCCGTACAGATGAGAGCTTGCTGACAGATCGTGGTTCGCTGAGCGCGAGAGCTTCCCGGCGTTGTCCCGGGAGTCCCCCCATTCCACCCCACTCCAGTTCCTGAAGCCCGGGGGGAGCCAGCAGAGGAGCTGCAGGGAGGCAGAGGGGAAGTCGCGGAAACTTTGCCCACAGGCGTGCGGTCGCCGCGTTGCTGCCCGCGGGCTGGTGGCCGGGAGGCGGCGGCAGCTCAGCCAAACAGCTGAAACCCTAGACGGCTTTTTAACTACGCTGGGCAGCTCGCGGTGCCTATTAAAAATCCTCCTGGCTGGGTGTTATTTTCTTGCTTCTCCTTTTGTATTCTGATCTGCGCATAGATCTGCTGCTGAAATCTAGAACACCAGCGCGAAAACAGATTTGAAGACAATGAATGCAAATCTGTGCTCAAAGACCATCTGCCGTGGAGGAGACAAATCAGCTGTTCCACAGTTCGAGCGACTGCGCCCGAGCCTCCCGGCTTCATTACTGAGAGGGCCTTGGCTAAAGCCTGGATTACATTCGGGAGACTTTCCCCCCACACAGGACTCAAATTTGAGCGTCTATTGACTCTCGACCAGATCCCTTAGGTGTAGGTGAGCGCTCAGAAATGAACTGCGAGAGTTTGCCGCTAGAGGACACAGCGCCTTGCAACTCGTTTGCCAGAGCCGACTGGAAGCTCGCACTTTCAGAAAATGCAGCTCTCTTGAGAGAGGGACCGGTCTGCGTCTCTACTCTATCCCAGGGGCAAACCGAGACCCTAGACTGCGCCAGCGGATCGCGCTCAGGATGCGCAGGTCTCTACTACAGATATTCACTTGAAAACCAATGAGGAGGGGGTGGGGGAAGGTGAGCGAACCCTTTATGCACCAACCCAGGGTCCAGGGATTGGGGTAGTTGATTTAGGGGGCGGAGAACGTGAAACCCCCGCCCCTGGGTTGTGCTGATTGTGGCACTGCGACCCCAGGGCTCCAGCTTGGTCCTGTTGGACGAAAGGGAGCAATGAAGAAAGACTGGGCGCCAGGGTATGGCACAGGACTGTTGTAAAAACCAAAATAGGAGTTGTCCATAGAAAGGAGGGTGGAGAGAAATCTGTAGGATTGAAACTTCTACCCTGTTTCAACCTGGCAATTCTCTATTGTATGCAGGCTTTATGGATAATTTCGGTCCCTGCAAACACTAAGCTCTCGGAGTCTTCTACCCCGGCCCGCACTCTTCATAAAATCTCTCTGAACCTAAACCACCCAGCCCCATTCTCATCTGCGGTCTGTGCCCAGCGGAGCCGATGCCTCGGGTGGCGGCGGAGAGTGTGGAACAGCCCTTGAGCCCCTCAAGATGTGTTGATGAGCCCGGCGATGTTTTTCAAGGGGCCTCTGATCTGCTGCACCTCCACGCTGCCCAAGAGAGGTACTGAGCGCAGTCCGAGGGACGGCGAGGCAGCAGTGGGCCCGAGCCTGGCCAAACAGCCTGCCCTTCAGGTCCGGGGTAGCTGGGGTTAAAGGACAGAGCCCCGGTCGAGGACGCCGGCTCTTCTCTCCCGCAACAGCTGCCACCCAAATTATGCCCCTCAGGAAGCGAATGAATTGGTCCTTTCTCCCGGCTCCCTGCTGCCCGCCCCAAACCAGACGGCCGCGCAGCGCGGGCGCCCCCACCCCACCTCCCAGAGACAAGTTCTGGGGCCGTGGTGCCCCGCAGGGAGGTAGTTTGGGAGAGCCGAGACCCCGAAACTTTGACGTGGGAGGAGGCGGGAGCTGCACCGCACCCCTCCAAGCCGGCTGCGCTAGGGGCGCCCTCCCCGCGCTGCTTAGGGCGCTCCGGGCAAACAGCCGCCGCGCTGCCGGGGGCCCACCCGCTGCGAGCCGCGGGCGTCCAAGTTCCCTCTGGGTGGGGACGAAGTTCCTGGGCTAGCGCGGGAAGGAGGGCTGAGGGGACAGGGAGTAAGCGGAAGCTGCCTTGGGCCCAAACGAGGCGGCGCTTCGACCTTTGGGGAGCAGGGAGCGTCTCTGCCAAATGAGTTGGGTTTAATTAGGTTTGTGTAGGTTTGGGGGAGGATGGACGCAGAGTTGGCCACCCGCACAGAAGGAGCGTTGGTTGGTGATGAAGTGAGCGGCTGCTCCTGGAGGGTCACTCCCGTCTCTGTAGCCGCCGGCTACCCCCAGCAAACCTCCTTTTAGAGCACGCCACAGAAATCCCGCCCTGAGCCGCGCGGGGGCCCGGCTGGCGCAGCTGCGGCCCGGGGAAGCCCGGCCCTGCAGGGGTGCGGAGCCCGCGCGCGCATCCCCGGCTCCCGCCCGCGAGCTTCGTTCTGCCCCTTGCCAGGGTCGAGAAAAATCTAAAATGACCATTATTAAAATACTTCACGACCTTCTATTTACACAAAATTGAGGTAGGGGGTGGTGTTCCGTCTTTTACCCTGTCCTCTCCTTTGTTCACTCTTCCCAAGGAACTCCCGGGTTTTCTTTCCGTTCACGTTTCACATCCGCACCTCAGTGCGATATGTTCAATTTCCTCCGGATCGGTTTTAAAGCCCGTTTCCCCCAATATCGTTTGGTCCAGTCTCCTGGGCGCCACATCTCTCCTCCTCCGGGTCAGAGCTTTGGAAATTTTTCTTAGAAAATTGTTCACCAAGCCTCGTATTCGTCAGGCAGGACACTGGGGTGAAATCAGAGGTGTGAAAACAGCCCCCCCCTTACAACCTGACCTTCACCCACACCCACCAGACACTCACTGAGGCGCCTGGGTCTATGCAGCCCGAAGAACAGAGCCTGGCTAGTACCCAGGGAATTCGATCCATAGGGACAATCAGTCTGGGTTTTGTAAATGGACAAGTAAGCCTCTCTTAGTGATTTTTCCAATTTGTTTGTTTGTTTTAGTTGGAACCTTTGCTTTTTGTTTGCGGGAATAGAAATAAATGGATTTGCTCTCCATCTCAGAACGCTGCTGAATATTTAGCTCACAATTCTTCGTGGAATGATTTTTAAAAACATCCAACTCCACTAACTCCCACTCCAAATTTCATTGTCAGTATTTTTCTTGCAGAAACTGGACTTGTATGCTCCATAAATAAGAATTCCCTAGAGAGGGAGGGAGAAAAGATACTACTGTATTCACAAAAGCACCACAAATATTTCAGGAGGACTCCACCATCCATGCCGAACAATTCTCTTTCAGGACAATTTGGTAAGAAGTTAGATTCGCTTCTTGATTTTTTACATAATGAAGGGGATTGGAGCAGGAACAGCTGCAGAAATGCTGAGGCATAGAAGAACATTTTATAGACACATGAGATTGCTTGCACCCGGGCCAGTCAGGTCACTGCAATGAGTTTACCCAAAATGGACTGAAGGAGCCCCAGTTGGCTCTGCCCTAGCACTTGGCAACTCCAGAAAGCTCTTCCTCCCCTCTCTCCTCTTTTTCTTCCTCCTCTCTGGCTTGCTCCCTCTCCCCTCAGTATCCCCGCTCTGAAACACCCTTCCTTCCCATTTCCTTGTTCCAGGCGCAGAGAGCGAGGGAGCCCGCACTGAGGCAAAGAAGCAGAAAGGTCAAGAGAACAAATTTTCCAAACAGTCCCGCGTTTAGACATTTGGAGAGCTGGCGTCGGAACTGGGCCGGTGCCAGGGCAGGGAATGGCTGCCCTGGAGGTGTGTGTGTTGGGAGGCAGGTGATCTGTAGAGAGAGAAGTGCTTTGTGCAGCCTCCACGCAAACCTGGGGGCCTGGCTTCCTGGGTGGGTGGGATGGCCCGAGCTTCAGGCCCCCGACTGGCGCTGCGATGGGGTAAACTGGCGGGTTGCAGCCCCTTCCGGGTACCTGGGCCCCGAG